AACTTGTGAGATGATGATTGAAGGCATAAAATAGAAAAGCTCAGGAAACTGGCCTACAGGGAACTTGTGACAGGAGCTCTCCTATGATATGCAGATTGTGCTTCCACACCGCTGTGCACATTTTAATAAGAGAGGCAGGAAAAGGGATGTCCCCACATCAGCTCTCAGGGCTTCAGTCTGTCTTTACTGGGGATGAAAAAGGTAAGGGTCAAAATAATAATGAATCTGATAAGCACACAGTGAGATTTGATTCAACTGTGCATCGCACAATAACATAGACCCTTGTACTTCCAGCACCTCCAGTATGTTGGTGAGCCCTTGGAATAGGAATTAGAAGTTGGGATTTCTGGTTTATTTAGCTCGTGGCTCTGCCGAGCTCCACAGTGCCTCCAGTTCCCACTCTAGCTCTCGCTCCTGGTGCTGGCAGGAAGGCGAGCTGCGCCCCAGGCCTGCCTCGTAGCTGCCAGTGTAATTAGAGAACTTGTGTTAGAGGCACCGTGGTGGGAGAAGTGAGAGGACTGGGATGGGAAGGGGTTCTGGCACTGAGGGGGTGGGAAAGGAGTTAGAACCCGACTTGACCTCCCAGGCATCCCCTTCCTGTGTCCTGACCGGCCCTCCCAGCTTGCCCTCCTGTCTCTCACCACTATATTTTGTTAGAGATTAGAAGTGTTGTGGGTGTTGGTGAAGGAGCTATCTACACAGGGAGAACAGCTCCAGGCAGTTCTTTTTTTTCCTTTTTTTTTTTAATATATCTTTATTGATTTCAGAGAGAGGAAAGGAGAGGGAGAGAAAGAGATAGAAACATCAATGTTGAGAGAAAGTCATTGATCAAGCCCGCAACCCGGGCATGTGCCCTGACCGGAATCGAACCCTGATCGCCTGGATCCTAGGCCGACGCTGAACCGCTGAGCCACGCCTGGCCAGGCTCCAGGCAGTTCTTGATGATGATGATGCTTATGCCAACCTCTCAGCTTAAGCCACAGATTTACCCTCAATATATGTATTTGGACAAAATTCAGCCCAGTTTGGGCTCAGGCAGCTGTAAAACTTTCTGATAAACTCTAACCCATTAAGACTCTCAGACTACGCACAGATCAACCCTAGGTGGACTTCCTGTGCATTCGCCCCTTCCTCTCCTNGGGCTCAGGCAGCTGTAAAACTTTCTGATAAACTCTAACCCATTAAGACTTTCAGACTACGCACAGATCAACCCTAGGTGGACTTCCTGTGCATTCGCTCTTCCTCTCCGCTTCCCTAATTCACAATCAATATTGTGACTTTTAGAAAAATGTGCTTCTTGATAAAGCATGTATCTTGAGGTGTTTTCCAGCAGTGATTTCTGATGATTTGCTCAGATTCTTTTCCTTGCCTACTTTTATAACTGAAGTAGAGAGGTTAGGATGCCTGACTGGGGCCTGGAGCAAGGTACCATGCAAAAACAACAAAGCTTCCAGGTCCTGATCACCGTGGGATCCTCAGACTACTCTCTACCTCGCCACCGCGGGCTGTCTGCTGGCGCAGTGCTGATGCTGGCATTTTCCCTCCAAGCAGCTCTGGCTTCATGTTTTCCTGCTGCTCAGAGCAGCTCCTTCTGGTTTCAGCCTACTTGTCTTTCTTTCTTGCTGGGGCGCGGGGGTGGTAGTGGGAGGGAGTGATCTTAGTGAGGTTCCTTCCTTCCTGCAAGCCAAGCAATACATTAATAATAGTTATATTCAGAATCTAGTTGTTGCTTTCTTATATTAGGCAGGCTCCTGGGAGTATCTAGTATGCCGCATTACAGCAAGCTCAGGTCTGCTATCGATCATTTGCAATCTGCAGCCTAGGTATGTACCCTAATTGGGAATCAAACCTGTGACCTTCTGGTGAACAGAGTAATGCTCAATCAACTGAGCCACACAGGCCAGGGCCAGGGCCTTTGCTTTAATCACCATTATATAGCCAGTTCTCAAGCACAGCGACCTGCATTCAGTAAGCATTAAGTGCAGATCTGTTGAGTGACTGCATCCCCAGAGGAAGAAACTAATCCTTTTAACCCAGACTCCTCTGTCTTTAGAGCCTGTCAAACCAAAAGGAACTTCCTAGTCTGGCTCTTTGTTGGGGAAAAACCTTAGTTCCCCAAATCTAGAACAGTAGAGGCCCAGGCCAAGACAAACAGAACCCTGCGCTCTGCCATTCATTAGCTTTGTGACCTTGGGTAAACGATCGAAAGTCCTAAATTTCTGAATCTTAGTTTTTATTCTTTTGTAAAACGTTGCTGATAACATCTGTCTCCTAGGTTGTTGTGGGTTGTTGTTGTTGTAAGATCAAATATGTGGGACTGTTATATAGTAAGCTATTTTCCCAGTGAGTGCCTCTAGTGGAAGGGGTGAGGGAATGATATTTTCCTTTCACTTTAAGACCTTAGCTTTTTCAACTCATTACAAGTATTAGTGTTAGTAATAATAGCTTTTAAAATTAAAATGTCCTTATAAGAATATTAGTTCCCATCTGCCTAATGTATTTTTATGTTTATCCTCAGATTGAAAAGAACTGTGTCACTGCATTTTCATGCAAATTTCACTACTAGAGAAAAAGAACAGTTAAATTAGCTGGTAGTTAGGAATGGTAGCGAGAGTCTGGGGAATACGTCTGAATGAAGATGATGTCTGCTCTTGGAGTAAGAGTTTGTGTTTGGAGATCGCACTGAGGGAAGACTGGAAATAATGCTGCATTTAGTTTCAGGCTGATGACGTGTCTCAGTTATGTCTCCCTTGTTTTTCGCTTATTAATAAAACGATTCGTGTTGTAGAGTTTGTGTCAGGTTGATATGTTGGATAAGTACCTGAACACATGCCTGCTTCACTGTGCGGGTAATGAAGTCGTTATCCTAATGGCATTGGTGTTGGAGGCCCGGAGTTGACAGCCCTGCACTTCTCAGACCCCATCAGTGCGTACACCGCCCTGTTTAGACACCACTAGTTGACGGTTGTTTTCTTAGACATTATTTTATAATAAACAGTATCTCATAATAAATTTCTCAGTAAAATTTAGAATGGCACAAGAGCGAGAACGTCACAGGACTCGAAGAGCAGAAGCTCTTTTTCATTAAGACCCGAAAGGAAGAAATGTGATCCCGCTAGTGGGAATTCTTTTACAGTATTGGTTTAGGTTGAGTGTAAGCCATCTAGCTGTGAAAATAATAAACCATGGTAGCAATAGCAATATATTGTAATTCCCACAAAGCACATTCAGCATATTTTTTATAAATAATAAAATCATAAATAAATATGATTACACTAGGCTAACATGAAATTACATTCAGTACCAACGGGCCAGATGTTTCTCTCACATGTTTGTGTTCTTTCTGGTCACTTTTTGCTTGTTCCTCCACCTTCCCCGACTGTGTAAGTAATCTGTGAATAAATAAGTGGGGGGGGGGCACTTGATCTGAGTTTGGCAAACTTTAGGGGAAATGGATTTGTTTATCTCACACATAGTAGGAGGAAGGACACAGTGCCTCAGAACAGCCATTTCAACCTTTGTGGTCTCAGGCGGCAGCATCTTTACTTTTGGAGGCCTCACCCCACATCATATCAAACACATGAAATGCACTCACATCTGACATTTGGTTAATTTTGTTTAAAGGACATTTGGGCAGGATTCGGACAAAATTTTTATAATTTTACTTTTGAAATTATTTGTCTGAGAGTTACTCCTTTTATTTATAATAAGTTCTGATTTCCCCATAACTGCTCAGACTCAGGAATTTTTTACAAAGTGAGAAAGCCCCACTTATAGATGATTTTCAACTATAATGATGCCAACATGGGTATTACATTTGATAATTAGAGAAGTTGTCATAATACGAAATTTATAGGTATTTTATTAAATAAGCATTTCTTTTTAATAACTCATGTTTCATTGCAAGTTGACACACCATTTCCAGCTCTCCAACATTATTGTAGACCTCGTGCCTTATGGGTGTAATTGATGACACAACCATAGGCTACTTCCCCGGGGCAGACGGGTCCTTGATGGGGAAGACCAGAGTAGAGAAAGAGTCTATTTGAAGGGCTTAGACCTCCACGTGCCATTCCCTTGTAGGGAAGGATTTCTATATGACATTCTTAAGAGGCCAGTATTGTCTGCCACTGACGGGAAGAACGATTAAACACGGGCGAAGGCGGGGTAGAGAGCAGCGCACTTCCACCTTCTCATGGAAACCTATAACCAAGATAGAGGAGAGCAGAGAGGGAGTGACAGCCGGTAGCAGCGGCGTTTACAGTGACCCTCAACCTTTTTCAGTATTGGAACCTTCCCATCAGCGTTTATTTTACCCCCTGCCCCTTTGGGGAGCAGGAACCTCCTTGGAACTTTTCCGTGTTCTAAGCCTCGCTGGGACCACTGTGTGTAGGCAAGCCTTACTTCTGATTGTAAGCCCTGACCTCCAAAAGCAGCTAGGACATAAAGACCTTCACCAAGAAAGGACCAGGACAGCCTTCCTTTTAGCTTCTGAATCACAAATGCCCTTGGAGGCTAGAACCACCTTTATCCACATGTCAGGAAACTTTGGGCCCCACAGGCCTTCCCCTTGTCTGGGCACCTCCATCTGAATCTTGCTGAACACAGCCAGGGGCACCAGAGGTGTGACCAGGTTCCTCAGAATGCCGCCCGCCGGCCGAGAACTTTCCAGTTGGGTATCACTGCACGTGCATTTGCATCAGGCCCTGTGCCGCAGTCCCCTCCCCGACGAGCCCACCTGTGAGTTCCACGGAGTAACAACTGTCCCAGGGAGTCCAAGGCCCCCGTTGTCCTGCCCACTGGTTAGACCATAAACAAGGGCTGTGGGTTGTCGTTTTGGGAAAGAGAAAACAAGGTCTCTAGCCCAGGGCAAATCATGGGAGGCGGGGTGTCCTGCTGAGTCTGTAAATCCTGAGGCGACCATGACCGCAGAGCTAATGCTTTATTCATCATGTTGCAATGGCTTCATTAAGAGCACATTAGTTTAAAGAGTAACTAACATGTTCTTCGTGAGCCTACCAGGAGAAATGTTAAACAGGATGAGCAACTGGCTCAGGCTGGACGTGGTCAGATCTGGGTTTTATTGCAGGTAAATTTCCATAGATGAAAGAGCTTTAATCAGAGCTTTGTGGAAAATAGATGATTCATTTACCAGAGTTTGCAGCCATTTAAGGGTCAGTTATTCACCCACTACAATTAAAATGTTCCACTTTGTAGCTTAATATGCTTTCCATGGTTGGGTCAAGGTATAAAACAAACAAACAAACACCCCAGGTACAAAACAGTACAAATTAGAGAATTTTATATTGTCTACTTTCCCTTATATAAGAAGATAATAATATTTATAGAAATTGCTTTCTATGTGTAAGTGTGGCTGAAAAGACCAGTATGTGACGATATGCCTTTCCACACTATGCATGCATAAAAAATTGTTCTTTGATTTGTGGTGGTGTTTGTGGTTTATAGAATTCACCTCTCTTGATGGCTGTGTCTTTGAAGCCTGAAATCCACCTGAAGTCTGTTTCAAATGTGTTGCCCCCTTTCTTAAAAATACTCCTTCCTCTGGTCTCTGCTGCTCCTCCTCGGCAGTCCATGGCTTTGCCATTTCAAGTGAAGCTTTTCGGTAGTTACAGCATTCTGTTCACTTTATCTTTTCTGTAGAACTTTTTGAATGGGAATGTGAAGAGAACAGAGAGTGCAAACAGAAACAACTTGACTGAGCAGAAGCAAGGGCTCTCTGGTATGTCATTTCCTTGTCTGTGACTTAGTCGGCAGTTAGACCTCAATATCCCTCCCTATTCAGGGGGTAGACGAATCACTTTACCAGGGCCACACATCACTGCAGAAGCAGAATTCAAGGGCAGAGCTTGAAAAGGTCTCAGCTGAAGGGACAATTTCTGAACTATAAGGCTATTTTAAAATAGTTGCCTGTCAGACACATTTTGGTGATTTCTTTATCTTTGAGAGCTTGGAATTGATGGACTCTCAGGTTCAAACTTTGATGTTCTATGAACCTGGGTGTTTATCCTGAATCCTCAGGGACTTAGAAAAAGCTTTGCTTGAAGTGAGACTCTTCTAGCTTTAAAGAATCCAGGTTGATGTTTACCTATTAGGTTGCTTTCTTTAATAATTCACAGCAGAGTCAACAATGATAACTTTTTTCTGTAATAGGTGTATTTTGGAAGGTAGAAAACCACATAGTATCACATATTGTATTTGTGCTCAATAGATTTCCATTAATGAGAGGAATGCATTTACTCATTATATAGTTCGCCACAGTCTTCAAGTGTACTCTAGTCCTCAGAAAATCTGAAATAGTCTAAATGTGGGAGGTCCTATATTTTAAGTGTCTGCAAAGACTTTGAAGTTACATATTACCATAGTAGCATCTAGTCTTATTTTCTTTTCTGTTTTTAATGGAAAGAGAAGTACTTTATCCCTAAGGTCTCAAACTTTCTCTTTCATTATTATGTTCAATTTAGAAATATACAGAGTAATTTTTTAAAAGCACAGGTTTCCTGAAAACAAAATAATTTTACCTCTGCCATTTCTCTGCACTTATGTAAGTAATGCCAAATCGTATTTTTCTTTGTATCAAAAGATAACTGGCTTTATCTACTCTCCTGGTTGAGTTGTCTCTTTAGCAATTAAGTTATTTTGTTCGATTGCATGATTTCACAGGGAGAGCTTCTGTTCTCTCTCATTCTCTCTCAGCGTTGTGTTCTTTGAAGACATGGGTAAAACCTTATCATTCATTCAGTAACCATTTTCTTCCTAAGATAGAAAAACAGTGATTTGCAGTTTAAAATTGGCTGCTAGATAAGGTGGGAAAGTGGGGGATGTAATCACAGACCCTTAATGGCATTTTGTGTTTGAGAAATGGCCAGATCTGCTTTTGATCCTCCGCGATGCATGCCAATTGAAACTGCTCCTTTCTTCTGATGATTTCCCTTCTTTAGCACTGTACATATATGCCTTTGTTGCACTAATGCACTGCTTAATGGGTCTGGAGATGCCGTTATTTATAGATTTCAGCTTATTCAAAGAGCAGCTGCAAGAAATCTCACAAAAAGAGAGCATCACTGTAACCTGCATATGACACTGCATTGGCTGCCAGGGAGGTGTGGGATCTTAGATCTTCAAGAATGACCCTGTCAAGCTCACCAGAAGTTTATCTGGAAAGATCTAACTTTTTTTAAAAAGTCTCTTTCTTTGATGTTTTAAATTCATCTGTCTTCTAGTTTCTGACAGCAATTTCCCTTTTGTGTTCTTGAGCTTTCAAACTTCCAGCCTTTGGGATTGGATCCTTTGTTCCTTCATTACTTCCTCTTTCCCTTTTATTTTCCTTTTTATTTTCTTCCTTCTATGCTTAAATTCATTTGAAAAACATATGTATGCATATATATGAAATTTATATATAATTTTAAATATCTTTTATAAATTTATGAAAAGAGAGAGAGAAAAACAGGACACTCTAGATACTGTGCTTGCTAGCAGCTGGGTATGCAAAGATGACTAGTTTCCTTAATCATTCGAAGCTTGTTGTTTATTAGGGACATAGACAAAAACAACTAATTAGAATATGAAGTTACAAATGCCGATATAGAGAAAGGTACAGAATGCTATGAGAGCACAGAGGAGGGAATACATACCTCCTTTGTTTTCTTACCTTAAATAACAAACTAAAAACTACATAGAACAGGAATAGCATCTCTATGATGTATGTCAATTCATGACATTTTGAAGAGTTCAGTGATTTAATAAATGAGTAACAGGTCAGGCTTTACAGAAGACTTTCTGATTTCATGGCTTTGATGTAAAGTACTATCTGGTTCAGCCCTGACTAAATTGATCTTTGCCTAATTCCATCCTCTGCTCATACCTCCAAAAGGTGACTTTTCTCTCTAACACTGAGAAGGATCTTTTTAGCTTTATTTGATCCAATGTCCCTACTTTACAATTCTCTCATTAGAAATTTCCTATAAAATGCAGTTCCTCATAAAATCTAATCTATTCGAAATCTCTTCTTCAAAATCTTAATTCTTTTATTTACCATTAATCAGGAGATTTTTATCACTAATAACCAACGTCCAGTATACAGTTACACTGCTTTACGATGGGACCGTGTCCTGAGAAATGCACCATTAGGCGATTTCGTCATTGTTGAGACTGTCACAGAGTGCACTTACACAAACCTAGATGGGATAGTCTACTACACATCTGGCCTATAAGGTACACCCCTGTCATATGTGTGCTCCATCCTTGATCGAAACGTTGTCAATATGGCCCATGGCCGTATTTAACAGACTTGAAAACTTTATCATGATTTAGGTAATCTTCATTATCAGCTGCCTCTTCATTATTCTCTTCAAGCTCTCTCCTCTAAAATACTCCAAAATTGCTCCTATCTTAGAATTAAGGACCAATGTAGACTTCACTGACATTTTGTGGAGGGAGCAGGGGAAAGATTTACATAGTGTTCTTTCCAGGGAACCACCTGAAAATCAGCCTTAGTCATTCATGTTCTCTGAAGTCCCCTTTTCCATGGGTGGCCAACAAACATTCCTTTTTTCTTTCTCATCGAAGCGTTTATCCTTACCTGCCCTCTTTTACCACATTTTGCAGAGCAATTCCACTCTGCCTCAAAACTTGCAGATTTCACTCACCTCCTCGATCAGTAAAACAAAAGACGCAGCACTTCACAGGACCTATTCTCCTTAGAAGCCTGCTTAGTAATTCCCTACAGTAATTAGAGCTTGTCCTTTGGGATCTTTTAGAATTTGAAAAGATAATAGTGAAAATTGTATACAACTGATGAAAGACATTAAGCTTTTCTAGTTGTTCCTCAGTGGGAGAATTGGTATGAATTACTTAGTTTGCCATTACAGAAAGAAAAAAATGTCTTCATTATTAATCATAGACAGTTGCTTAAAAATTATGGAGTTAATACATAAGTATCATCTGTTTAACAATATTCTATATTGTTTTAAACTATGGAACATTTTCATAAGCTCAAGAAAGTAACTTGCTGATTACATGAAGAGCAAAGTGAAATATTTTCTTAGTGATAGAAGAAGAAAGTAGAACTTTGAATGGTAATACATTTTTCTTTTTACAATATATATATGATAATTGAAAGATTAAGGTTGGTGGTGTGTGGGCAGGCTAAATAGCCATCTCAGATGGTGAATAAAGAAAAATTGAATTTATTTAAGGAAAAGGAGATGGGGGATATCCAAAGGGAAGGGCTATGCAGCACTGAGTCAAAGGGTATTTGGTTCATGATGGCAGCAAAAATATACTTGAGACAGTGAAATAAGGAGGAGCATAGAAGCAGCAACAGGAGAGCCCAGGCTGGGCTGCTTTGGCTCACTGGGAAGACAGAGAGAGAAGGGGGCCCTGGAGACAAGTTCAGGATGTAAGCCCAGGATAAGTTGCCACTGCCCATTGCTCCCTTGGTTGCAAGTCTCATGGGGCCCCCTCAGAGAGAAGAATGGAGGAGGAGATGGTGTTGGCATGTTCCCTTGGTGGGTCCTTTGTTCTGAGCGTATTTATCGCTCTCTTGCAGGTGGAGCTTTTAGGGGAGGTCACAGGGGAGTGTCTCAATAGAATATTCATCAGCTTTCTAGGTGTGCTCTTTCAGTGTCAGGGTCTCCACTGATGGTTGATGCCAGGGCAGAGAGTTATTAGTCAATGTGGCTGGTCTTGAGGCAGCTGTTGCTACACTTGTCTGGTTTTGCTGCGTTTCTGGACATGCAGTTGAAGTACAACTGAGGACTAGATGTTATCTTTAGGGAGTAAATACTCGGGGTCTGAACCACGTGACCAGCGATATGCTGGGGAAAGATAGTTCCCCTAGGACAAAGTTCTTGTTTTCCCAGTTTTGCCTCTTGCTTGGCATCTGGGGCATTCTGCCCTGGTGAATCTCCACCCGGATTTCTGTCCCTGGATTTCTGTCCCTGGCCCATCTAGACATATTGCTAATGAGTAACTTCTATAAAAAAGAATGTTTCAGATATCATGTGAAATAAGTTTTCTTTGGAATCAACTTTAACCAGGCATTAATAAATCTGATTTTTTCATTATAATTATTTTTCTATTGAAGTAGGAATGAACTAAAGACTTAAGCAAACAAAATCATTCTTTTCAAAAAAGAACTTTAACGTGATTGTCTAACCACTATACTGTACACCTGAAATAAATACAAAATAATACTGAATGTTAACTGTAATTGAAAAAAAAGTAATTTAAAAAACACAGAGAATTTTCAATACTTAAACTCATCTCCACCCCCTTTTAATAGGAATCTACATTTTATGGACAGTTACAGATAGGTTTTATTTATTCTATGTGTGTGTGTATGTGGGTCTCCTTGGAACCTGTAAAAGTTAGAGTTAGAAAGAGTTGTGTTATTAAGAGTGGGAGAAACCTGTGCCATTTTTTAGGCCAAATAGTATTTTCCTAGGCTTAGTGAGTTTTAAAAACTGTTTGCCTTATTGATATAGTTCCATGAAATTCTGAACATAAATATATTTCATTGAACAGTTATAAAACTGAGTATGAGGTTTTGTACTTGAATATTCCTTAACAAAGAACAGGTTCAATTTCAGTTGAACCCTAGACAAAGCTGTACTTTTATCTTTGGCATTTGTACATCTGATTGTAAAGATCTTACTTCACTAAAAGCCATTTTCACAATTGGTCATGAATTTCTTGAAAGCTTTTGCAGTTGCATGGGCA